ATTTCTATAAATTCCATCTTTACCACATTCGGTCATAAGAAATTAGGTCTGACGTTTGATCTTGTAAAAATACATAATTAAAATTGCGTGAGGGAAAGCGGGTCCTTCCTTCTACAGTTGCTGTTGTTATTTGGCTGGTCGCGGGTATCCTCGATGTGACGGGGGTGCTAGAAGGGACGAAAGGAAAAGGAAGGGACGCACGTTTCGTCCTGGGCCTGCTAGTGGACTCGTCAGTAAGGCTACCTAGAAGGCCCTTCTTTGGACGGGGTACTATTGGAAAGTTTGGAAGCTCTATTACAGGAAGCGGAGGATTTACTGTTGAAAGACAACGTTATACATTGTCACTTTTGTCCTAAAGCGTCGCCGATGTTTGGAGCCGATATAAAACAGTTGAGAGCTGTAGCGAGCTATTGGGATTATGGGTAAAAGAAATAGTTATGTTATATTATAATGTTCTTTATTATTTCTCTCAAGGAAGGTATATCTATTCTCGTAGAGAGTCACATCTAGAGTGAGAGCAAAAAGGGTATGCGATTGCAGCTCGTCCCGGTCCCCCAATTCTTATCTAATCGTGCGAAATAAACACTTCACGCATTTCCGGATCCTCTTCGACGCATAGTTTAAAGATACATCTATTTCTCTTGACAGATTAATTTTTGTATATTCCATACGTTAAAACGTATCCTATTTTCAACACGGGCCAAGCGTTCTTTCTTTCTTGACAGTTCAGTCAGTTCGCGTCATTCTTCGCTGGCTACAGACGTAAAGGGTCGAAACCTTTTTCAGACATTGGACTGAAAGTGTATCTGTATAAATTGTATTACATTCCTTTATTATTTTTCTTTATTCTTAATTAAAATTTACTGTCTCGTTAAATACGTGAAGCACTGTGTTCGTTTTTCTAATCTTTGAATCTACAACATTTACCAAGGACTTGCGAGAAAATCCTCGCACCTCCTTCAACTTGGAATCCATCTAGTGATGCATTTAGTGATCCATCTAGTGATATATACCTCTAGCGAGGGTGAGAATGATGCCGCCATAGAATAAACATCGAAATATCAATATCTTTTTCCTAACGTGAAATTTCGTATCGAGAAAAGGTACATGATTTCACTGCTGTTTCGTTATCATTCTATCATCCTGACCAGCTGAGCCCATTGATGGCCTGAAGTTACCGAGCTATTTTTCATACTAAAATTCACTAAAATTCATAGATATCCATAAAAAGTAATCAATAAAAGTCACACAGAAGTGGCAGGATTTGGTGTCTTGACGAGTATACTCGTTATGCGTAAAAAGTAGTGACCATTGGCTATTTAAATTGAAATTTTTGTGAAAAATAAAACATATTCTCAAATTTCAAGATGTTTAGAATATTTTGAGGCCAGGTCAGAATAAAAGAAACAAATAAAATTTGGCTGACAATGGGCTTGCAGCAATTGGACTCGGGCGTTGGCTTCGGGTGGCTCCAACTTTCAAAGCCATAAACCAAGAATGATATACTCGCGATCGTCTCTTAACTCATTCGAGACGGTGATTTTTTTCGAACACCGTCCCCAGCAGCGAAATTTTTTCTTTCTTTATATTGTTCATTTTTAATGAAAAAACTTGTTTACAATGGATATCACCCAATTCTAAGTGAATTCGCATAAATAAGATGATTGCACACCATGTGTGCAATGTAAGATAAAATAAAAATACATCATTAAAATTAATAAACATTTATTTCACAAATAGTTAGATAATATAAAACCGTTAATTTGCTTTCAATAATGAAGAACAGAATATAATGCAAAGAAAATTTTTAAGAAACAGTAAAGAGTTAAAAAAATCAGTTGAACAATGAAGAAAATAATATAAACGAGAAATAAATTTTTAGAAAAATGTCTAAAGGTAATAAAGTAATGTAACTCAGTAATGAAAAAAAAATATATAATTTGTTTATACATTTTTAGGAAATAGTACACTGATCGTAAAGTAATTATACATTAGCTGGGTGATGATAGCCAAATGTTGCTATTTGTACATGCCTATGACGTATTTGGACGTGCTCGCTACAGAAATATGTGTTCCTGCATTGATATTTTCTAAAAATGTAGATTTCGAAAATCCAAACAAAATGTTTTTTTTTTTTTTGGTACGCAGCAAAACCAAAGCCAAATTTTACTCAGAATAACTGATAAATGCTCATTATTATTATTGCACACACGGTATGCAACCGGTCTTATAGCCTCGGAAATCAATTGCACACACGGTGTGCAGTCGGTCTCGAATTGGTTAAGAAGATTGTAGCGACCAACGTTCACACCCTCACCGATAGATGGAAAACGGGGGTTCGAGGTTCCTCGCAAGTCCTCGGTGAATCTTAGATTTACATAAATACAAGTTCCTATCCTACTTAAATATCCCCCATCTAAGACAGAGCCTGCCAGAAAACCTTATTGACGAGTTCACTAGCAGGCCCAGGACGAAAGGCATCCCTTCCTTGCGTCCTTCTACCTGCTACCTATCATAGCAAGACAGCCATCAGGATACCAACTGGCTACACCATAAGACCCGTAGGGGGGACCTCCACAAGGGTTACTGGCGTGTGGGCGAACCGCCAAGGTCTTCACCGTGAAAGAGGGGTTTCCACCACCGTCAATCCTGATGTGGGGACGTTTCTTATTTTTGGAGGTGAGCAATTCCGGGGGCGTGTCCCTGGTTCGACGAACTGCCAATCACGAGAGCGCTCGTTTCTTGGTAGGGCTTAAAACCCTTGGCTTCGGAAGGCGGAAGAACATATCAGTTGGAGTCAGAGTCATCGCAGTTAGAGTGGAGAGTTAGAGTTAAAGTCAGAGTCACGGATTGAGTCAGTGTTTGCAGAAGGTTCGAGAGGGAAAGTGTTACAGTCGGTGGTATTAGAGTGGAGAGTGGCCCAGCGCAGTGAGCCTGCAGTCAGTCTAGGAGTGACCTGAAAGACTCAGTGAGCAAGTGTGTTCGTTATAACACCGTATAGTACTCTAAGTGTCGCTTTGTTAGCGTTCTCTAGTATCAGTGCTGTATCCGTGTGATATCCTATACTATCTTAAACTTTAAATTCGCGTATATTCAAAAATTCTATCTTGCTGTGTGTTAATTCTTGAAATACCGTTTCCGGTATTCCGTTCATCCTTTAGTTTAGGACAGATTGTGTATCTAAATGTGAAAGTTCTGAAATTTTACAAGTACCAGTGTTGCGGCCCTAGGACCGCAATGTCCCAGGTCAAGTGGAGGACTGTTTTGTGTCCTTATTATCAACGTCCCTTGACTTCTATGCACTCATTGTCGCCTAAGCCACCACTTGGGTACACCGTAACAAGCAACAATATATCACCCTTAAGACGACAGGCGTAAGGACCCAGATTGTTTAAACAACCACCACCACCGAAAGACGCTGGAGCTAGCACACACTCCCAATATTATTCGCAACCAATCAGTAGACAGACGAAGCTTATAAAACCACCGACAGAGCAGTGACGAAGAGAGTTCTCCTAAAATACAGTCCACTTACCACTTCGAAGCTAGACAGAAGCTTCCTCAAAGAGCCGTCCGTCACTAATCCTCGCCAACTAAGATCGACCTAGTGACGCTATACAATATCTTTAAACTATGCCCTTGTCACGGGACTAGTTTGCAACGGCGAAAAATAAGAATAACTATGCCTGCATACGAAATACTATCCGTAGAGTAGGTATACCGCAAGAGAAGTGACACGTATTTAGAATTTGAGAAGAACTGACTTTATTTAGGTTTTGGGATATATATATTTTAGAGTCTCACAGTCTCTACTTCGCTGGAGAGTACTTCGGATACTGAAATTTACTGCAGAATGAGAACTGGATTGGACTCAGTCTGAATTTTCGACTCAACTCTTACTAAACGCAACTCTCTACAATAACTCTCAATAACACTCACTCTAAGACTAACTCTATCTTCCAGAGCGGGCCCTTTTAAGCCCTCCAAGGACCACCCCCGAAGGAGGAGAAAACTCCCTCCACGCAACGCTCTGGGGTAGAAGGGATTCCTCCTTCCTCGTGACCCGCCGAGGGCAAGGCTGCAAGGAGTGCGTGGGAAAAGCGTGATTGGGAAAGAGAGAATATATATGGAAGAGGATAGAGTGTATGGTTTTAAATAGGGATGCACGGGGCGTGAAGCGAGCAGTATGTTGAGTATGTATGTCGGGGCAGTTCGTAGTAGAGTTGTTAGAAGAGAGTTGCGAAGAAAGAAGTTGTTAGTCGTCTAGTTGTATTTTAGTCGTAACAGTTGTAATTGCGTTGTAATCTCAAGTTGTAGTAGTAATAGTAGTAGCTGTTATAAATTCGTAGCCTAATCGTCACCACACACTGCTAATTTAATCCATTATTATTTGTTATTTAATAAATAGAGGCTATTATTTACCACCTACTCAAGTGTCTCTACATATATATACAAATATACAATATATAATCACTGAACGTGATGTTTCCTTTAAAACAATTAACAATATGTCAAGGTGGTGCTGTATTTCGTAAATGAAGTGATCGTAGAATTTCAATGAAGCTCTAATAATAATAACAATAATAATAATAATGATGATGATGATGATAATAATATATAACATACAAATAAGATAAACAATAAATATAATAATAATATTATATTTATATTAATTATATTAATGATATTAATAAAATTAATTATACAAATAGTATAAATAATTATTAAATGATTAGAAAATAAATATTATATATATATAATTGTTTATGATAATTTTTGAATATATATGTAATTCTTTAAACTAAGAATTACTTATTTTAAACAAATTTCAGGGAGAAAACTGCTGAATGAGAACTGTATTTCTCGTATTTAAGTTCGTGAAAATCTGAACGTGATAAAGAAATTTTGATTTCACGGAGCATTGTATTTCCGATTATTTTAAAATACTTTTTTACTAATATCGATGTTTCATTATTTCTACTGAAGATCGTTTTACTTACATGAGATCAGGACGGAAATGATGAATCATTGCACAAAAGGCAAGACCATCCCTCCAAGAAGTTGTCATGTTTTGTACATTTACATCAGGATAACCCTCGGTTATTCGCCGGCACCAAAGCTCTAGTGCCTTTGTGCCTCGTCGTTCGCCCATTTTCACGTCAATTTCAATTTTTCTCTTAAAATTCTTCAAATCTCTTCTCTTACGCTTACGCGATCAGGAAAACGTCAGTCTGTCTCTAAATTGTTGCTCGATTCGTCTGTAAACAATAAACAAAAATATTAGCTTTTCCATCAATAACAGGTGGTTTAAATGACTTTTATAAGATACAAATAAACTATACAGAGTGTCCCAGCAGTGGTAATACAACCGGGAAGGGGATAATTCTATATGCAAAAGCAAATGGAAAGAAAAAGAAGAAAATTTTTCAATTCGAAGCTTTGCTTTAATAATTAATATACAGGTAACCCTCCTATAACACGGTAGATAGGTTCCTAGAAAATGCCGTGTTGTATGAAACCGTGTTGTACGAGACCCGGAGCCAGTACAAAAAGGGAGGTTACGTTCCGAAATCTTATTAAAAACAAATTTTTCTTTAATTCCACATAAACAACTTAATTTTTATTAAAAATATAAATGTATGTACAACACGAAATAAAAAAAAAACAAAAATATTATTTTAATTTAACGCAACTTTAATTTAATAATTTCTTCGTCGTCACTGCTCGGTATAATCAACCGAGAACGTTTCTTCGGTGGAATGATATCGCCTTTGCTTTCGGAACTTTTTTCTTCATTTAAAGTTCCTGCATCTTCTTCCCTCTTAAAAAATCTGTAATTTCGCTTTGCTTGCTGGTTCTTACCAGGTCATTGTAAATTTCTCGGTACGGAGCTAAACAGTTTTGCCGCCCCCTTTTGAATTTTCGACTTCTTTCAGCGGAAGGGTCCGCATTCGAGAAAAATGACTCGAGATTTTCAGCTAAGCTTAGGCCTCCTTGTAATTTTTTTAATGTTAAATTATTAACCGCGCAATCTTCATCGGTGCTAGTGCCCTCGGAATCGATTTGATTTACAGCTTCAGATGCCATTTCCATCAAATCCGCTTCGTCAACTTCTTCTTCCACTAATAAATCTTGAACGTCCTCGATAGCCATATCCACAAAACCTTCACCTCCGATTGATTTAGCAAGTTCTAATATGCCGTGAATTTCATTTTCCGACGATTCACGCACGTTTTCTGTTTCAACCGAAGAGGGCCATATCTTCTTCCAACACGTGTTATAGGATGCCGTGTTGTAGGAGGATTCCCGCAATTTATGAAACGTGTTTACTGAAACCGTCTTATAGGATGCCGTGTTGTAGGAGGGCTACCTGTAATATAATAATTAATTAATTATTCTATTCCCACGTAAGGTCATAGTGGAAATTGTCATGAACGATTTTTATGCCATCCGCGGTCAAACGCGTTGTACCTAAAAGATTAAACTGTTTAGAGAAATTAATATTATTTACTTATTTTCTATCATCTAATATAATTATTATTATTCTAATTCATTCCCATCATTCCCATCAACAACATTATCAACGATGGATAAAAGCCAATGCTCGCAATACACATTATTACTGTACTGAAAATACGAAATAATTTGCAAACCAATATCGATGACGCATAAATGTACATCATATTCTTGGTAACGATATCATTGCAGCATATTTTATCAGTGACGCTTCGAATAGTCCATAGTCAAGGTAAATAATATTCAAGGTAAACATAATAGATAAATAAATAATAGTCAAGATAAACAAATTTTTTAAGCGACGAGTTATTTAATTTACCAGGATTCCGAATTATTAAAGAAATCAAACGTTTCTTCAATATTACAGTTACCTTAGGCATTATGCATTAATATCCTGCTATTTTGCAAAATGCTGTGCTAGATCGGTCGCAGTGCAAATATTCGATAACTTGCACGTTCATCGGATCTTACATCGCTAAATTCTTTTTCCTAGGTGCAATAAAATTAAGAATTTATAGCGGGAAATATGAAATAACGGATTAAAATCGCATAGGTTAACATCAATGAGCAAGTTACAAAGAGAGCTAGTGAATCGTTCATTAACGGGCCATAGAAGTGTATTGAAGTTAACGGACATCGCTTTGGACACTTGTGAAAATAAATCCTTCATTCATCATTCTGTCACGGTTATTTCACTATTTGCAACAATAGTTCGAATTTCACGAATTCCTCGAACTCAAGGTTATCGTATTATAAATTATCGAATATCGCTCCATTCCAAAAGAACACTTTGATAACCTTGGGATCTCGAAAAATATTTGTTGTCTATTATAATATTTGCTGATCGAAGAAATATTTTCAATATGTTCTTCCATCGTTAAAAATAAACGAGAAACTTGAGATGCTCGAGCAAAGTGGAATCCCGTGTATATAGAACCCTTTTGATTATTCAACATTTTCTGTTAAAGATAATTAAATAATTGTAGCGATCATCACTTTCGCTTTCGTGACCAGATGGATTTCAACTTCAAGGAGGTTCGAGGACTGGGTAAACCCTCCACTTCCTATAATAGAACTTCCAAATTTTCCAATAGTATCCCCATCTAAAGCTGGGCCTGCTAGGTAGTCTTAGCGATGAGTCCACTAGCAGGCCCAGGACGAAACGCTCATTCCTTCCTTTTCCTTTCGTCCCTTCTAATAATACCATCTCATACAGAATACCTGTGACAGTCATCAGCAACCATGGGCGGGGGTCCCCCACATAATTAATAATTGGTTTAATCGATGGGAGACAAGTTTAGTGAATATGACGAGTAATTAAAAATGATCGTAGATGATTGTGTTGTGGTATTGTGGGCTGGGAAGGATTCTAGAAAAAGGAAATAGTATTAACCCTGTAGCGTCCTATTTATCGAATCCCTTCGATGTCCTAGAACGCTTATCACGCGCCAAATTAATATTACGAGACTAGCTGTAATAATAAGGATCCCGAAGCGTGTTGATAAAAGAGAGCGTTTATTTATACAAAGTATAGAATAGTTATAATGGAGACGTTGAACGGAGTACCGTTTCGAACACGCGTTTATACGTGTAAGTAAGATGTTTCAAGGATCGGTGTCGAAGACGAACTGATTTCTCGAATTCGATCTACGTCGTGTCTCGTCGTGTCCTGTCCGGTGTTTTCTCCAGTTTAGTTCTGATCGGGCAAAATAAACGTTGGTGGTGGAAAAGTAAGGAGTTTTAATTGGACAGAGGGTGTGACGGAAGGACCTTTGGCTAAGGAGTAGGAAACTGTCAAGGAGCCGATTTTTGATGGTCAATGACGTGATTTATAAGTAGTGTCCGTCCGTCGCTCGTTGGGTCTGTCACACGTGGGTCCCATCTGTCGAGTCTGGTACTTGTAAAAATTCCTAAACTTTCGCCTTCACCTTTACAACTTAATCCGCTAGAACGGCGGTGAGGCACATCTATCCTCCGGAATTGCAGTCACGAAATAAAATATATTGTAAACCGTTAGGTCTGTTAAAAGTGTAAGCCGTAGAATAAAAATCATGTTATAAACACGCTCTCCGGGGCGGAACATATGCACAGGATGGAGTAGATAACGTGCTACAAACCACATCCTCCGAAGCCATTGCAGATATCAATTCGAAATGTTCGAATGTTGAATAGGTATAAAATGTCATAAAACAGTTAGCATCTTAGAGTGCAAAATCTCGTAGGGGTGAGTGTTTCACGGTGAGAAAGATGATACTCGTATCTTTATTTTTAATTAATAATTAACGCAAAAATTGGTATAGAAAAATAAAACGAAGAGGCACGATTAAAACCACGTACAGTGAAATTCTATTTATACGAACATGATTTTTCGCAATGCTTGTTAAGCTTCTAGCGGCATCGTCCTCACTCTAATCACTAGATGGATTCCAGATTCAAGAAGGTTTGAGGATTTTCCCAAATCCTAGGTAAACTAGACTATACTATTGCCAATAGTGTAAGAGTATGGAAAAGCGTGCGAACTCCGGTTACCAATAAGGCAGCGAGTGACGAGCGCTTAGCAGCGATAACCGGAGTCTCAAGTCGAAGCGACGATCCACTTGAGCTAAGCAGCGATCCTGATGAATGAACAAAGGAGGTTCATTCGTTTGAGTTCCAAAGGGTTTTGAAAAAACACTGTCGCGACCCAAGCAGCGCGACGGCGCTTCTTCTATTCTATGTAGAGATATCCCGAGCGGCGCGATAGCGCTTCATTTATATTACGGCGATGAATAGCCAAGTGGCACGATAGCGCTTCGACTTCGTCGCTGTCGAGAACGCTCGAAATGTGCTGGGTTTTCTCGACATGAAATATGAACAGCGCGATCACGCTGCTTGGGACTCAAACGGTTAATCCATTTGTGTCACGGCTCTACTTAAGGTGCCGTGTTCAGGCATCAGCGACGTTCAACTGACGACTGGCCCGTATCACTGAGCGCGTATCAGTACCTACTCATAATGGTAGTTAAAAGGATTTTCACAACAAAAGTAAAACTTGTTAAGAATATAATGAACCGATGTAGATGAGATGCTCACAAAAGGGATCAAACGTGATCTGTGGCATATGAAGAATATTCAGCAACTGGTAATGAAAAAAGTCAGCTCGCGGATTATTCCGCGCTCGGTGATAGGCAACAGTCGTTACTTGCGGAATATTCCGCGTTCGGTGATAAACGACAGTCGTGGTTCGCGGATTATTCCGCGGTCGGTGATAGACGATAGTCGTGTTTCGCGGATTATTCCGCGCTCGGTGATAGACGAATGTCGTGGCTCGCGGAATATTCCGCGCTTGGATACAAATGGGTTAAACCTTGCACTCTGTCTTCTTTCATACTCGAGCTTTCTTTCTCAATCACGCATTTTCCTTAGCCTCGCTCTCGATGGGCCACATACCCTAAACATTCAGGTGCCTTTCGCTCTTCGCTTGCATTCCATGTGATAAATATCCCGTTCATCCGGTCCTTGCACGGGGTCACTCATCCTTCCACGCGCATTTCAGACGTCGTTCTAAACATTCAGTGTGAACTCTAGACTGCTGTCTATTGCCCGTCACCAGCTAGACAGGTCCAGAGTTCCTTTGCGTTCACTCTTAATCCTCGCAACTCTCACTTCCTACATATAAATTCTTTTATTTCAAATAAAATTTTTTCCCTTTTTCTCTTTCCTATAATTCCTACAGTTACTGATGTTACAATCCTGGTTTGCA